TACTTACTTGTGAAACCATCAACGATTAACCATCGGTTCGTTGATCGATTCTAGTAATAATTAATATATGAAACAAAACTAATAGATCCTTTAAGTAATGTTCAAAATATTAATATGAAATAAGAGTAGGGATTAATTAATATTCAAGGAAGAATATTATTAATGAAGATGAATCCTACTATAATTAATATCAAGATGTTAACTAATTGTCATCTTAGCAACACTCCTCAATATTAATATAGAGGAAGAAAATACCATTCTAACTAATGTCGAGATGTTAACTAATTGTCATCTTAGCAACACTCCCCAACATTAATATAGAGATGATATTAAGGAAAGAACTATTAATTAATATTCAAGGAAAGAAGTTAAGAAAATAACTCACAACTTTAATAATCAACAAGCTTCAAGAGCAACACCAAGAATGGAAGTTTAGCTCCTCATTTGGAGACTAAACATAGCTAGAAAAATATAAAGAAATGCTATTCTAAACTGAGCTAAAGAGTATGGAAGAAGGGATTATTTTTAGAGAAGAAAAAGAGTGCTATTTATAGGTGTTTTTCAACACCTTTGGCCGGGTACCCGACCGGGTCAAGTACTCACCCGACCGGGTCCATGTCAAAATCAAATATCCTCCACGTTCTGGCGATCTTCAGCATGTTCAAGTGTCCGGGTCAAGTCAGACCCGACCGGGTAGGGTAGGGGATCCGACCGGGTGAGTGCAAAAATTGGATTTTCTACACGTTCGGGTGATCTTTGCACACCGGGTTGTCCCCGGTCACTTCTCACCCGACCGGGTGAGGTAGTGGGCCCGACCGGGCCATGCACTTTCTTTGCATTTTCGTTTTTCACTTCTTACCCGACCGGGTCAAGTATTATACCCGGTCGGGTATTTGCTCGTGGGCAGCCAAATCTTCTTTTTCTTCACTTCAAAGTCTTCCTTTCCAAACCATAAATCCTAACTAAACTTTACAACTGACAAAAATAGACTAAAATACAATTACAACTTGAAATCACATAAATGTTTACAAACTAAATAAAACGTTAAACAATTAACATAAATCACACATAAAAACATGTAATTATGCACTACTAATTAGTGTGCATCAGACGATTATTCGATTAGTTAACGTTTTGACATTAATTACTACTAGAAGCGATCAATGAACCAGTGGTTAATCGTTGATTATTTCACAAGTAAGTAACTTTAGGTTATTAATGCATGGTGTCATGGTTAGTAATCTTATGAGAGATTAATTGTGTTGGTTGAATCGAAATTGTTATGTTTAGATTATTAATCTCAATTGAATTTAATTAATGCATATCAAAAACATATTTCATATCTGTTTATGCAAATATATATTTCCACAAATCCTATAACAACTAGGAATAAAACTCCAGAATGCGAAATTTCAAATAATATTTGAAAATGAATTTTGTCAAACAGACATTATTATATTACAATTTGACGTTTTTTGAAATATATATTATTTAACTAAATTTTAGCCCACCCTCGACGTCAAAGCTAGATCCGTCCCTGGAGAGAATCCCCCAAATAGGACTAAATGAAATTTTAATTGTCAAAATAGGATGATAGATTAAAATTTCCTAAATAGGACTAGCTTTCCAATTCTACCCTTACTTTGTTTTAATACAATTCATATTTTACTACTCCCTCCGTCCCTATATAAAAGTATCCATTCATTTTTCACACATTTTAAGAAAGTGAATTTGGTTGGTACTGTTTGGCATTGTTTGGACACTGTTTGGCACTGTTTGGCACTGTTTTGCACTGTTTTGCACTGTTTTGTTTGCCAAAAAAGGAAAGGGAACTTTTATTTAGGGACGACCCGAAAAGGAAACAGATGCTTTTATTTAGGGACGGAGGGAGTAATAATTAAAGTACAAAAGTAATAACATAACTTTATTATTTATAATAAAGTTTGACTCAAAAAGTTTGACTGTGACTTTAATTATGAAACGGAGGTAGTATTTTGGTTGAGAATTTAAGAAATAATTTACTCCGTGACTATAATTATTTTTTGAATAATATAAAATTATAAGATGATATTATTATATCATCTGCACTAGACAAGAAAAATCTAGAATATAATGTTTATTGGCAATTCTGCTACCCTACTGGTGCTACATCGGTAAAATCCAGAAGTAAACATTAGCGTATATGAACCATGACCATTTATGCATGTATTCTTAATACTCCGTCGAATCTATAATCGGTTTTCAATTTCATGAAATGATTTACCTTAACAAAATTAACATCATTATTACTCATCCGTGGAAGAGAAATGGAACAACGACGTCAATGTGAAAGGAAGTAGCGTATATATGTAAAAGTAAATGATGCTACGGAAATTAAAATGCATGTAAATGATTAGCAATAGTTAGGTCTGAAACTTTTTTGTGCCAGTAATTTTTAATTTATTTAGTGTATATTTGAGTAATTGAGTTAATTAAATTATTAAAGCACATTGATTGGCGGCATATGTTATGGAGGTAGGGCAAGTATAAATAAGGGCCGAGCTTAGGGAGTTTTTCCTCACATCTAAACTGCATGCACCCTTAATTATAATTGTCCATAAATTATCATTATCATTAAATCATGAACCCTAGCTCTTCCACATCGCCGCCTATGCTACCATTATTTGCTACGACACTGGTTGTCTTTGTGCTGATGACCACCGCACGTCCCGTTGACTCACGGCAGCCGTTCCCGGCCACCGATGCATCGACCATCCACGTCAAGGCCTCAGCAGGTAAAGCGACGGGTCTACAGGGTGTTAAGAATGCCATCGGTGGGTGCTCGGTTAAAGCCAAAACCGCCTCTGCCACATTAGGTAAAATCATCACGACTAGCTATAGCAAGGCGGCCAAGAATGCTCTTAAGGAGTGCATCGACACCCACATTACACAATGCCTGAGTGAATTTTCAAGATCGAGCAACGAGGCGAGTACAATGAATCCCTCTAACTCCACGGCGTTGAGCAACGTCCAGACCTGGATGAGCGCCGCCGAGACGGATTTGACCACGTGCAAGGAGGGGTTCAGCACCGTGAAGGACGCGCCGGAAGTAAAAACCCAAGTGAAAAATATCATCGATCCTGTTATCGGTGCCACGTCCGACGTGCTGGCTATGCTCAATCACCGCTAGGAATCATCAAGCCTCTATCATTTCCATATTTCGTCCTCAACCGGCCTTTAATTTACGGAACTTTTTTGCCTGATTGCTTTTGTTATGTTTTTTCGTATGGCCTTTATATATACGGAGTACTGCCTTTATATGCAGCGGCAGACCCATGAAAGTCTATCTTGGGACGGAAAAAATATTACTATTCCTATTAATGTTGTAATCTTTAATAATAGGAACATGGATCCTATTAATGCTATTAATATATACGGATACAAAACGTACTATTGATGGATCATGGATCCCTGTTTTTTATACTTTTTGACTTGATTACATATGGAAGTCTTTGCTTGTTTAATTATGTTTATTCGATCGAATTCCTATTGATAACAAGGTGTCATGTTTATTTATCGAATAGAAATTATTCCAAATAGGATTAAAACTATGACAAAAACTCAAAATAGCTAGGACTTACTATGTTTTTCTTTTCAAAATAGGAACATTTTACTCCTATTGGAAACATACCTATTTTTCATTCCATTCCTACCCTTCCTTTAAATATGAGTTAATTAAATGCTTAATTCATAATAAATTCGAAAAAAATTCAAAAAATCGTAGAAAAATAAATAAAAAATTTATAAAATATTCATAAAATAAAAACATAATTTTTTTAAAAAAAATTAATAAAAAATAGTAAAACTCCATAAAACAAAATTAAAAAAAAATATGGATGCCTTTCCCACAGCCTGTACTACCTCCCTGCACCACCATCTCCGGCGGCGAAAAAGTGTCATTTTCCCTAAAAACTGCCATTTTTTTAAAATACATGGCATATTTGTCTTTGAGAATGCCAACATTTTCATTGTTTTCTACCATATATTTGGCATTCGTAATGAACTTGGCATTTTTTCCCCCGGTGACTGGAGGTGGTGGTGCAGAGGCGGCAGAGGCGGCGGTGAATTTTATTTTATTTTTGGAAAAAATGATTGTAATAATCCCAACTATTAGCGGTCCGCTTATAATAATCCCAACTATTCATTATTTCAGAGTAATCCCAACTTTAGGGACCTTTCGCCAATAATGGTCCGACGTGACCGACTATAAATAAATTTTTATAATTTCTAAAGAGATATAGCAGGTAATCCCTATAAATAATCCCAAATTTTAATTTTTACGTTTAATTTCTATTAAAAATTCCCTTGTTCGAGCAAGTAATATGCGGTCATGGACCATTATTGGCGGACGGTCTATATAATTGGGATTATACAAAAATAATCAATAGTTGGGATTATTATTTTCAAATTTTCCTTTATTTTTTTTGAGTTTTTTATTTTTAAATTTTTTTTTTGAAAATAAATAAATTATTATTATCGAAGTAGTTTTATTAATTTTTAGTATATTTTACGAATTTTTATTATTTTTTATTATTTTATTATGAATTAAAACATTTCATTAGCTATAAGGGTATATTTGTCCAAGACACACATAATTAGTCCTATTAAAACATAATTTATATTTTGGTCCTATTTGCGCAAAGTGAGTGACTTTTAGTCATATTTTGATAATTAACCCTTTATTGAATTGTGATGAGCAATGGAGTAATAATCTATAGTATTGGGACTTTGTTGTAATTTACACATTCTCTACTTATTATATATAGACCACCAGGACACCCTAGGGTGTGCCATTATTCCAATCTTATTATTTCATATGGTATCGGAAGCCTTACGTTTCCCTAGACCTTAGCATCACAGTTTTTTTCCCTCATGGCGCAGCCCTCCGCTTCTGTTTCTTCTTCGTCGATCACTTCAGCGACGTCTTCTTCTATTGCCAGCGCCTCTCCCATGGTGCCGTCTCTTACTCAGGGTCTACACATACCTCCAGAGGAGTCCAATGGTTTTACATCACCGATCATTAATCGGCCTCGTTCGACGAATGGAGTCTCTCTGCCGCCGTCACTTTCATCATACCGAATGTTCAACATGCCGGAGCCTTTTATGTGGAATTCCGAGCCTGCTGCGGCTGCTACTTTCTCTTCCACAGCGGTCCAGTCTTCTCCTTCACCTAGTGCACTGTCTGCCTTGGATCAACAACTTCCTCCACAACCGTTTTTTGCTGGCTCCACATTTACTGGCCAGCCTGGTACGGCTCCACTACAGCCTCCTTTTTCACAGATTCCAGGTTATTCCAACCCATCTTCTTTGCATACTTTGGCCTGTCAATTAGCGTTCTCCACGCCTAATGTGACGAACATTGTTACAACTAAATTGGCCGCGGTTGAGGACTATCTCCCTTGGCGGACTCAATTTGAGTCTTTTCTAGTTTCCCATAGTCTTCTTGGGATTTTAGACGGCTCAATTGTGGCTGCGTCACCTTCTTTACTTGATATTAATCGACGAGAGAGTCTCAATCCTGAATATCATCACTGGCTTAAGATTGATCAGACTGTACGTTCCTGGTTGTTTGCTACGTTGTCTAGAGATATTTTAATGGAGGTTTATGATCTCAAATTTTCTGCTCGTATATGGGAATCTCTTGAAACTCGTTTTATGAATGCCTGTCGTGCCCGTTCTATAGAACATAAGAGGCAGATTTACCATATTAAAAAGAAGGAGTCTCACACCATTGACGCCTATCTTTTGGAAATTAAATTGTTGGTTGATGCCTTGACTGCTATAAACTCTCCTGTTAGTAACCGTGATTTACTCGAATATACTATTATTGGATTGGGACCGGAATATGAATCCTTGCTTACAATTATTGATTATCTTCCGGGGGACCTCACTCTTCAAAAGTTGCGTCCTATATTGGTTGCTCTAGAACAACGGAACATTTATCTTCGCTCTCAGGAGCCTTCGATGTCGCACCAGGCCTTTTCCGTGGCTCCAAACCGAGGGGGTGCAGCTCGTGGCCAGGCTGGGCGTCATCCTGGAGGTCGTGGAATCAGAGGTGGTCAGCGCGGTCGTGGGCATCGAGGCCGCGGTCATGGCTATGGGGGTCAGCCGCATCCATCTTATGGCGGCCAGCAGGTGTATAATGGGCAGCCGCCTCTTCTTCCCTTACCATCTTACGGGCAGCAACTTTCTGGGCAGCAGGTGTATGGGGGACAGCCCGCTCGTGGTCCATCGCAAAATGGGGTTCCAGGTACAGTTTTAAGTAATATTTTGACTAGTTATTCATACTTTAATCATCTGTCTACTTGTGGTACTAATAGTGTCAGTGCAGGTTTTCCATCTGTGGACAATTCTTTTAATCATTCATCTCCACCAGTTGTTTGCCAAATCTGTTTCTCCCCAGGTCACTCTGCTCTCACGTGTCCAAGATTTGTTGGTTCCTCTACTTGGGCTTTGGCAGCTCTTCCCTTAGGCGAGACTAATGCTTCTGTGTGGTATCCTGATTCAGGTGCCTCCGCTCATATGAGTCCTCATGAAGGTATTCTTTCTTGCAAACTTCCTTACACCCCTAATTCAGTGCAAGTTGCTAATGGTACTAGATTACCTATCACTCATGTTGGTGGCTTTAAATTTTTTACGCCTGGTCGCCCACTTTCTTTAAACTCCGTTTATCATGTCCCACATTTAAAATATAATTTACTGTCCATTAATAAGTTGTGTGCGGATAATGATTGTACGGCGATTTTTAATAAAACTTCTTTTTCTATTAAGGACAATCAGACGGGGTGCATCTACTTCAGGGCTCCAATAAAAACCATCTATATCCTTTCCATGCTCTTCAAGCGACCCTAGTTCCTGGACCTACCTGGCACAAACGTTTGGGACACTGTGGTGAGAGAGTTTTACAACGACTTCGGCAAAATAAATTAATTTCAGTTTCTAGTAGTTTTCTTCATAACTGTGTTTCTTGTAAGTTGGGAAAATCCCACAGACTCCCGTTTTCAGATGTCATTCATAGTTGTACTGTGCCACTTTAACTTATTCACTCTGATGTTTGGCAGTCGCCTATTTTATCCAATTTGGGCTTTAAATACTATGTATGTTTCATTGATGATTTTTCTCGCTATACTTGGATTTATCCTATGCGGCGTATGTCTGAGGTGTTTACCCATTTTTGTAATTTCCAAACTCTTGTGGAAAATCTTTTTAATCGAAAAATCAAGACCTTTCGGAGTGACAGGGGTGGTGAATTTGATAATACCATTTTTCAAAATCATTTTTTAATATCCGGTATTTTATTCAGAAAATCTTGCCCGGATACTCCTGCTCAAAATGGTGTAGTTGAGCGCAAACACATACATCTTCTTGAATTAACTAGGACTTTGTTGATTGAATCTTCAATTCCTCCTACTTTTTGGGTTGATGCTCTGTATACAGCAACTTATATTATTAATCGTTTACCTACCCCCATACTTAATAATTTAACTCCTTTTGACAAACTTTTTAATAAATCTCCTGATTTTTCATTTCTTCGTGTTTTTGGGTGTGCATGTTTTCCTAACTTTGTTGCCAAGTCTTCGAATAAGCTCTCACCTTGCTCTATTCAACGTGTCTTTCTTGGGTATGCCCCGGGTTATAAGGGTTACCGATGTCTAGATCCCGTTTCCGGTCGGGTTTATGTTAGTAGAGATGTTCAATTTTTGGAAAATGATTTTCCTTACTCTATGCTCGTTCGGTCCTCTCAAACCTCTCTACCAGCTCCTGCTAACTCCTCCAACTGGCCTCTTAATTTTTCTTCCCCTACGTCCAGTACTCTTTCACCCGAAACCCATGTTTTAGCCCCTACACCCATGCCCATTAATAAAGTCAATACTCCATCTCCCTTTATCATCCATCACAATGCCCCAAATCCCTCCTACTCCAGCCCCACATCCACTGATACGGACAACTCCACACCCACCGAACCCATTAGCCCGACATCAACCGAACCAGTCAGTTCTAAATCCAGCCCGATAACCAGCCCCAATCCTAGTCCAGTATCCATTTCGACGCCCCATTCCTCCTCACACTCTCTACCTTTAGCTAACCATCACCCCATGCAAACTAGAGCCAAGGATGGTATTTATAAGCCCAAACAAATTTTTAATTTAAGTGCTTTTTCACCCCGGCTGATCCTACGTATTTTACTGAAGCTAAAAAACATTTTATTTGGTGGGCTGCCATGGTGGATGAATTTAATGCTCTCCTTTCTAATCAGACTTGGGATTTGGTACCTTGGGATGGCATGAAAAATGTGGTCGGTTGTAAGTGGGTTTACAAGACAAAATATAATTCTGATGGGCCCATTGAGCGCCACAAGGCGCGTTTAGTTGTCCAGGGGTTTAAGCAACAGGCCGGTGTAGATTTTACTGAAACCTTTAGTCCCATTGTCAAACCAACCACTGTTCGTCTTGTGTTATTTATTGCTGTTTCTCTTGGTTGGTATACTCGTTAGCTAGATGTTAAAAATGCTTTCCTTCATGGTAGTCTTACAGAAGAGGTGTACATGCGTCAGCCTCAAGGTTTTGTCCATCCTTCCTTTCCTCATCATGTGTGTCGCCTCAAAAAGGCGTTATATGGTCTTAAACAGGCTCCTAGAGCTTGGTTTCACAGGTTTAGCGGTTTTCTTTTGTCTCGTGGTTTCTCTCAAAGTAAGTTTGATTCTTCCATGTTTGTTCTTCGTCAGCAGTCTCAGGTTGTTTATATTCTGCTATATGTGGATGATATTTTAATCACTGGCTCATCATTATCTCTTGTTCGGTCGATAATTGATTCTCTCTCTACTCAGTTTGCCATGAAAGACTTGGGTGATATTCATTTTTCATGGGTCTTCAGGCTTGGCGTACGTCTACAAGTCTGTTTCTCTCTGAACAAAAATATATTTCTGATTTATTACGCCGATTTCACCTACATACTGTCAAGCCTGTTCGTACCCCTCTACCATCGCGCACCACTCTCTCTCTCACAGATGGCGAACTTCTCACTGATGGTACTGAGTATCGTAGTATGGTGGGTGCGTTACAGTATTTGACTTTAACTAGACCCGATATTACTTATGCTGTACATTTGGTTTCTCAGTTTATGCATGCACCACGTACTACTCACCTTTTGGCTGTGAAGCGTATTTACAGATATTTGCAGGGCACTACAGATTATGGTTTATGGCTTCAGGCTAATCGTGACATCTCTTTCATTGTGGCCTATTCCGATGCTGATTGGGCAGGTTGTCCAGATAGCAGTCGCTCTACAACTGGGTATGCAATTTTTCTGGGTCCTAATCTTGTCTCATGGCGATCCAAAAAGCAACCCACTGTTTCCAAATCCTCCACTGAAGCCGAGTATCGTGCCATAGCCTACACTGTCCAAGATACTAATTTCATTCGCTTTCTTCTGGCCGAGATGGGTCTTCGCCTCTCCACGCTTGTTCAGCTTCATTGTGATAACGTGTCCGCTTTTTATCTAGGTGTGAATCCTATCCAACATGATCGCAGTAAACACATCAAGATTGACTATCATTTTGTCAGAGAACGAGTTGCTCATGGAGATCATGTGGTCAAATATGTTCCCACTCAGTTGCAGTTAGCTGACATTTTTACTAAAAATTTATCTAGTCAGTGTTTTGAATTTTTACGTTCCAATCTGCGCATTGTATCCCCTGCACAGATTGAGGGGGTGTAATAATCTATAGTATTGGGACTTTGTTGTAATTTACACATTCTCTACTTATTATATATAGACCACCAGGACACCCTAATAGGGTGTGCCATTATTCCAATCTTATTATTTCATATGGAGGACCTAGGGGGCTTCGGGACAAGTACATATGGAAATTGTTATAAAGCATTTAAATGATTATAAAGTTATAATGGAATGATTTCTTACGATTACACATTATTGACACAACTATTATTAGGATTGTGGCATTGGTGGCATTTTTGTGAAGTGAGAATTATCTTTGTTCATAATTAGAGGTCAAGGATATAATGACATTTCTAATATATGTGGTGAATTTAATGAGTTGAAGACTCTTATCTTGAATAAAAAATGAATTTCATACACAAAATATATTCATTCTATTCTTACCAATTTCAACAATTTACCGTGGATGTTGCATAATAAAGAAGTTTGTGGATAACTTCTTTATATATTTATCATGATTTTGATTACTAAACTCGGGGAATCATCTGAGAGTTCACATTTTACAAGCATTGATTGCATTCTTTGTATGTGATCTTATACAATGTAACTTTATATCTTAACCTATCTTATAAAGGACAGTTTTTGTATTAAATGATCTCCCATCTATCGTTACAATGTCAAAACATTGCTACACGTACTGCCGTTGTCTTGGTCTTTAGACGGTGTTATACTTTTAGCTTCACGCTGTTATGTTTTTCGTCAATCTAGGAGTGTTCTACTGAATGACTAATGTTGAGTAAATTATTCACTACACAATTAAGGCACCACATTGCGAAACTCTTGGAACTCTTTCTCCTTCCATGAGCCGTTGAAGCTGATACGTCCCTTAACCGTTGCTGCATAATTTGTTTAGGTTATCATCGTACTCATCTTCTGTCCTAAATATACCTTCGCAACACTAGACGTGATATTTCTGCAATTTTTAGTATTTCTTTCCCACAAGTCTCTAATGATTAAACTTGATGTATGCTTTTAATTGTTTGGGGGATGGAATTCAACTCTTTTTTTCATACGAACCTGGAAGTTGTTTTGTGTTTATGCCTTCAAGACAATCTCGAAAATATTAGGTGTTTTTTGCATATGAACTAAACCCATTAACTGCTTGTTTATATGCCTAATAGAACACTTTTATTGTTGTAGAAGTGAATTCACAAATTACCATGAACCATATGCACATAAATCTAACTTGTTCACTATTTAAAGACATTAGAAGTACTCCAGCATTGGTTGTTTAAGTAGGTGACCTTGGGATTGTTCTTTGTTGCGTTTCTCTACTTTTTTAGTCTTTTCCCTGCATTTTTGGGTGCGTTTATCCTGCGTTTTTCGTTGCTGGTTTTATATTATATAAGCCTATGATTTTGATAAACCTCTCCATTGGTTGATATTAAAGGATACTAAAAGCATACTACATGTTTGGTTTTATGTCAAGGTTAAATTGAAATGGATAGCTAAATTCAACTACAAAAAGTATATGCCAATTACTCTAAATTATCTTCAGCAATAAAAAGTTCATTTTTAAACAAAATTGTGTGCCAAAAAAACTTCCTAACCAGGCTGCATCATTTGAAAATCAAAAGCATATACATAAAACATTGAAATGCTTATAGATTTATATAAGTGAAATGGTATTATATAAATTGAAAGCATACCTTAATTGCGATTTTTCCGCCGTTTTTGGCTGCATATTTTCTACATTTTCCCAGCATTTTTACTGATTGTTTAATACTCCCTCCGTTTTTTATTATCTGTCTCGCTAGCTTTGGGCACGTGTTTTAATAGAAAAATAGTAGGGTAAATGTAGAGTGTGTAGGGTAAATGATAAAGTAGGAAAAAGAGTATATTAAAAAGAGTAAAGTGATAATAAAATGATGATAAAGTAGGAAAGAGAGTATATTAAGTAAAGTAAAATTATGATAAAGTAGGAAAGAGAAAGTAGTTTGTAAAAAGTAAGATGTAAAAGTAATAATAGTGAGAGTATTTTATCAAAAACTTTCCTAAAATAGAAAGAGAGAGAAATAATAAAAAACGTCCCAAAAAGAATGCGGGACAATTAATAAAGAACGGAGAAAGTATTACTTAAGCCTTCGATTGTGCTTAACGTCCCCACAAGTTCATATTCAAGGAAGCTAAAACCACCCCACATGTTTGATAATATGTCAAGGTTATTCTATCGCACTTACCATCAAATGCTGTGTTTTTCCCCTGTGCTTTGTGCTGCATTTTTTCCTGCACTTTTTTATGTGTGTTTACTAAATGGTCTCCAATAGTTCACATGAAAGGAAATTAAAAGCACACCAGGTGTTTCACTTGTGTGTCATTTTAAATCACACGTTTTTAGCTCCTTAAGTCTGCTTATTGTTTTAGTCTTATTGAAAGTGTC